TGGCTCAACCACCAACCAGATCAAATTCAATAGCAACAAAAGATGATCTTTTGCAAACATGATTCTAAATCCCTCAAAATCACCACTGACATATTATGTTTTTTCCCCCATGCTTTTGCACTTTGCTGGTCATGAATTTTGAGCTGCCAGGTCCAAGGAGTGTTGGGTGCGTCCAGAGGATCTCAAGGCTGCAGTTGGATGATCCTAGAAATGTTTCTCATGGGGTGCTCCAGCCCGTCAACTAATATGATATAGGTACATGATAACCATATTTTGTGGAAACATCTTGCAATTTTATGTGTATATATGTTTATATTGCAATTTTGACTCCTTGTATTTGGGCTCGGCATCACCGTTCTATTCAAGTGGATTGGGATGATTCGTAGCAGCTATCGCACAACCAGGACCTGAGCGATGATGAGGAAGAGGCTGGGCCCAATGGCATGAGTCATGATGGGATATCCACATTTTTTGAGACCCCAAATTGGATGTAGATGAACAATGATGAACATGCCAACTTAAGATCATCCAACTCCCAAAAAATCCCAATATCCAAAGGATATCCCAAGCATCCCATTTTGTTTACCTTTCAAAGAGTCGTCAGCGCAGAGTTCTGTCAGGCCCCAGATGCTGTAGCAGCACGCGAGCAGCGCGAGGATGGAGGCCAACGGCCAAGTTACCCGGGTTTCGAGCAACGGTAATATGCAAAAAAACGTGCTACAGCTATGCGGCTATGCGTAAGAACTAGAAATTGAAGTATATCAAGAAATGAAGCCAAGAAAATCCAAGAAACATGAATTGTGAATATTTGGTTTTGAGGAGCAAACATGAACATATGATAACATATGAACCACTAAAGGATTGGTAGATGATCAAGAACTAAGACCCATTTGGAAACCATACAATTTGTTCTGTAGCTTGTTTCTCAGCGTAATTTCTGGGGTAGCCATGGAGAGCCATTTCTTATGTCCATATTGGGAGAACTTCGTCGAGGTATGGATGCTACGGAGCCCAAACAGTCTGAGCAGTTCGGTCTGGGTTTTGTTTTGAGTTCTTCTGTGTTCCAGTTCTTAATTTCCTGAATGAAAGTGGTAAAGTTTTGGGTTCAGCTACTTTAGTGTACCTAGGGTACCAGGGTTTTGACCCCATATCCCATAGCCATATATATATATATACATAATATATATATACATAATATATATATACATAATATATATATATATACATAATATATATATGATATTTATTTACCAGTACCATAAACCCAACAGCTATTTGGAGTTATGTTGAACAAGTTAGGCTACCCACGGGGCACCAGGCAGTACCATAGCCGTAGCTTCGGTCTGACCAGGTGATCCGCCAGCTTCGCAAGAATCGCCCCGCGGGAAGAAGCGGGACTTTGAGAGCTGGGGCTCCAAACGACTTCTGAACAGTGCTGGATGTAACGAACTGCGGGAGATCTTACCCTCTGGTTATGACTAACATAGCCATGGAATAGATGGCCCATAGAAATAGATGGTTTACCGTTCTTAAAAATGGTGGATCTTTCCATGGCTATGTGAGACATAACCAGATGGTAGATCTTCATCATCAACAAAAGTCAGTGACATATACAGTCGAGGTACTTAAAGAACTCACTTTGGGGTTGAACATGGACCCATTTGGAAGGGTACCCAAGAAATCTGATTCATTGGCTTCTTTTTCTTGAGCCAATAGGTCAATAGGTTGGAGCAGGTTGGAGTTTCTCCAATACGGATGGCTCCGAAATTCCACTTTTTCATACTAAAATTGTAAAAAATCTATTATAAATGATCATATATATAATCAATACTGTAGGTGGATATCTTTATTCGGGCCACGGAAACACCGTTTTGTTTTTCAACGAAAAGATCGTTGTGAAGCTCGCCATCTTTCTGGCTGCACCTTGGTCAATAAGGTCTGGCTCCTTCGCCCGTGACAGTCGTGACATGTCCTGCGCCTCGGCTTGGGGTTGTCTGAAGAAAAGGAGGAGTTTTAACCAACTAATCCAATTATATAGTGTCCCAAAATGGATCATAATGGTATTGGTAGTGGTTATGGTCATAGTCATCTATTCATTTTGGGATACCAACTAGTATTGAATATCCATATGGTATCCCAAAATGTTCCTAGATCATAAAATAGATCCAATGAATAGATCCCTTAGATACTGGCGGGTTGCTGCTATCCCGGGGGTGATGATCCCTGTTGATGTTCATATTTTGCTGGCTTGAAACCACCAATTTTCGGAGAGATTCGATGAAGGGAAAGCTGACAGAACCCGCCTGTGATTGCAAGGAGAAGAAGCGCAGAAAGATGCCACCATGGGCTACTGGGCGATTTTCGGGATTTGGTTGTTGACAGCCGCGCTTGTATTTGAGTTCTTTGGGAGTGTATCTCAACTGAAAGAAAATGGAAGATGTGTATATTATCTATACATATCTATACATAATTATACTATATTATACTATATATATATATTATATATATATATCTTATATAGCACTTGGGGTCCGAGTGAAGTTGACTCATTCGCTTGGCAGCTGCCCAGGTTCGAGTTGCCTTCGACGACGCGGTGGATGAGATCGATCCTGACTTCGGCATCGCTGGCGAAGGAACGCCTTCGGAGCAGTGGATCAGCGAGGTCAGCGAGGAGAGAAGCCAATCGGATCAGTGGAAGAAAAGATGCGCCCAGCAGTGGGGCTGAGAGATTTGGCGGATTTGGGCTTAACATTGAGGTATTTCAGCATAAGTTGGCGATTTTTTTGGGAATTCCCGGACCACAATCCCATTGGTAGCCTAGCTGATGAAGCGTAAAACCAAGCTATGGCTATGTTATCCTCCGGTAGTCACACAGATGATGATCTATCGAAATCCATTTTATGTTTTTCATGTTTTCTATTAATACTTGGCCATTCAAGTGGTACCCCTCAGTAAACCACCCAGCAGCGCAGCTTTCTTTCTGCGTGGTGGCCGATCAGGGTCTTTCTCGTCATGGCAGAAGAAGACGATGCTGGGATGTTTTGGGGGAGGTAACCAGGGTGGGTGTCTATGAAACAGGTGGATTTACCCTCTGGTAATTTAATATAGCTATTGAAAATGGAGTTTTCCCATTAAAAATGGTGATTTTCTATAGTTATGTTAGTTTACCAGAGGGTACACCTCAAAATGGCAATTTTCATGGGGTTAATGGCGATTAACCAATGGATTTTAGGGTTTGTCCTATTTTCAGACAAAGCCAGGTCGTAAAGCCAAGATCCCTAAGGCAATGCTCAAGAATGGTGTTAAAATGATATCACCATTTTTGGAGGACAGTTCACAGATTTTCACGTATTTTTGGATGTATTATAAATATATATATATTATAATATATACATATAATAATATGTATATATATTTTTTGAGCCATTCCTACAAACATTATCAACTTATTTGGTTTTGACAAAATCCCCAAACACCAAACCTGGGTATGTTTCATTGTTGGGTTTACCCCATATGATCACTTTCCAGGAAACATGGGGAGCTAAGGTGTGAACGTGCGTCAACTTACCAAATTTGTTCTTGGGTACCCTCTGGTAATGGCTGACATAGTTATTGAAAATGGCCATTTATAGTGGATTTACCCATTGAAAATGGTGATTTTCCATAGTTATGTTAGTTTACCAGAGGGTAGGTTCCCAAAAATTGGGAAGCGCCAGTAATGCATCGAAATCTCAACTTGCTCCGCACAGAAAGACCAGTTGTTTTGAAGGCATGGCTTGCGACATGGAACCCATGCTGGATCATTTCTAGCACAGTTATGGCTTACAGGCTATTTATCACCTGGTTAGAAAGTTATAGCTTAGAAACAAAGTTATGATAAATGATAACCCAGTGATAAATGATAACCAGTGATAAATGATAAATGGTTGCATTCCATTTGTGAAGTGGTCATCATCGGCAAACGTGGCGTGCTGCAACTTTTCCCATGTTTTTTGGGGAACCAAGGACTGGGCGCGCGTGGCGCCAGGCTCGCTATAATTTCCGACTTCAAACATACAAATAGCCAATAGCCAATAATTGAAGGTTCCATTGCTGAGCAATTGAATCAGCAACAGTGCAACCTTTTGTTCAGAGAATTTGGAGAAAATGCAACTCCATGTGAGACAAGAACAATGGGACAATGGGCATGCAAGTATCACAGAAGTATCACAGAAGAGGACTAATTCAGAACCTGGTTGGAGTCAATGTCGCCAATGTCCCGGGGTGGATGCCTGCTTCGATGCCTTGACTTCTTGAGGACTCGGGTGCTACAAAGACATGAAATCATGAAGATTCGTAGTTTGACCGTTTGACCCAACAAGGGACTTGTAAGGCACCAAACTGCCCGCTGAAAATGAAACACTGGGACTCGGCACGTGTCTCATCTGATATGAGGCAATTATTATCCTGCGCAGGCGGTGAACAGTGGGACTTTTTTTTTTGGATCCGACAGTATCTATCCAGTGGTTACGTGGGAGTTAAGGAGCTACGGGTACCAGGGGTATATGGGGAGCCAAAGAGCTAAGAGTTTCCCAACCATATGATAGGTATAGTAATCCCTTCTGCCTGAGTGGGGAACGACAAAAGCACAGCCTTTTGTTGTAAGGATCCCATTTCAGGAAAAAGGTCCACCGGGTCAAAGCCCGCCAGAGATCCCAACTTCGATTCATTCGTGCCTCACAATGCCATTTGAATGTGGATGGATGGATGGATGGATGGATGGTATCTATGTAAAGCTCTGCACTTTTCACAATTTTCTTGGCAAGAATCCACATCTTCGAGGCTTGAACACGCATCTTTAAAGCTTGAATACCTACATCAAATATCATCAAATCATATATAACATCCATTCACATCCGATTTTTCCACCGGATTTCCCATGGGTGTTTCCATGGTTTTCCCATCCAACATAGGTCTTTTCCCATCGGTTTTCCTGCCAGGGGCCCAGCAGACCTCCGACCATGGCCCCACCCCCGCAGCCGATGGCCAACATGGCACCTGGATGGCAGGGATGGCGACTGGAAGCACTATGTGCTGTGGAAATCTGGTGGATATAATCACTGGATTGGTTTAAGGGAAAATTTACATTGGTTAATCGCCATTACCCCCATGAAAATTGCCATTTTGAGGTGCACCCTCCGGTTATGTCAAAATAGCTATTGAAAATGACCCATAGAAATAGTGGATTTACCCATTGAAAATGGTGGATCTTTCCATAGTTACGTTAGTTTACTGGAGGGTAAGCCATGATGTTTAAAAAAAAAAACATAGCAAACCACTTCGCGTGCAGACCGGGATTTCCTGGTCTGTTAATGAGTTGAGTTGACTTTATCTCCCGTTTTACAAGTTTTTCCCCATAGATTGGTTCATATGGGTTACATCTGGTGGATATTAAACCAGCCAGACATCATGGGAGATATGTTAAGACCTATGAACCATTCATTTGGAATAGAACCTGAAAAAAGATGAAAAAAGGCAGTCCTCGGAACTGTTAGTCCCATGTTCCCGGGGATTTCCACCAAGCAGTTATGGGAATATGATGGGGGATGGTGGGGGTACAATGGCATATATCACCAACCAGTAAATGATATTTCCTACTTCAATGAATAACACTCTAAATATATAAGCACATATATTTGTACCATATTTCACAAGTACCAATATCTATAGAACCACATAAATTTCGTATTCAACGCATCCTTTTTCTTGGGGACGTCATAATTCTCGAGGGATGGGGACAGGTCCTCTGTGGTCAAAAAGGTCAAGTCCTTTGGGCAATTTTTAACGGTTTGGCCGCTGGGAAATCCGCCAGAAATAGAGGTTTCGTTCGCGAAAAATCATCGAACTTTAGATGTTAACTCATTTTTGAACAAAGAAAAAGTGTTTGATTACCGAAGGTAATGGACATCCAATGGTCAAATATATATATATATAATATAATATATATATATTATGCATTATTATATATATATATATACATATGAATTCATTGAATATCATTGAACTAGCACTTCGTTTGGATGCGTGGCAAACTGTTTGGAAGGCGTGATCTTGGATGAGAATCATGGAGAATACATCATCCCAAAGTCAAGTTTTAAACTTTTTAAGTCCCAAAGATCATCCACGGATAATTCATAGTTGAAACATGAAGCATCTTTGCAAATGAATTCATAGGTGATTGATTGATAAACTCCCCAGAAATTGGCTGAATTCCGGAGGCAGCGGCTCCGAAGCTGGGACACCCAGACACGCGCTGGGATTGACAGGATGCAGTGTGAGTTGGGCATGGGAAATAGTGCTTTTGATACATTGATACATAGCTTCAATTGGGACTTCCATTTTGTGCGTAGTTCCTAGTGAACCAGTTACAGTACTAAGCAAATTCATCCATATAAATCCCCATCTTCCAAGAGCCAAGATCATCCAAGTAGGTTGATCACCTGGTGATGCATCCATGATCAGCTGGTGAGTATGGTTAGTACTGTAAGTGGTATATCCCAATGTATTCCAGTCATGTTTTTTGGGCGGAATCAGATAGTATAACTGATCATCAATCGTGAGTTGACTTGGGTCATGGATATGCACTCCGTTAATCAAACATGGCGTGCTTGAACATCCCCTATTCACTGATGATTTTCCCAGTCAAAACCCATTTGGTTCGGGATTTCCCAGCCCGCCATGTTATACCAAAAAGGTAACCTCCGTAGCTGAGCCGTAAGACTGGGCAAAAAATAAGATATTTCCTCACTGGCTGACGGCACCATAGATGGCTTTGATGTTTTGTACGGGGAATCATTCCCAAATGTCCTGAAGTCAGCTTGTGAGTTCTGATACTCCAGAGATCACTTGGGTTTGATTGACCCTGTTTGTACTGAAGCCATCTTAGACACGATGTATGTCTTGTTGCAAACAGTAGAGTACCATACTTTCAGTGGAAAGTCCAATACAAACCCAGATCTTGAAACTTGTAACCATGCCTTCAGATGTCCTCAGCCCTCAGCTGGATTCCTGAACCCCCGTATTTAATGACACAATCAGTTAAACTTAATGGTAACTAATGGCACTAATCAAGGGTCTCCTGTAGATTCTACCTGTTCCATCCTGTTCTTATCTTTTTCCAACCAAATGGATTTTTCCCAGCAGAACCCCAACAGCTCTTCACCTCCTTCAGGGCTGACGCGCGACCTCCGCGCGGGAACGCTCAGGGTTTTTAGGGTCATTGGTGATGTGGAAAGCAGGTTTTTGCCTACGCAAAACGTATGTCTATTGATGTCTATTGTTGATTGGAAGATTTGGAAGGACAAGACATGATTGAAGCCAAAAACAAGTGCGTCCCTGGTGGGACGGTGAATCTGATTGGGCTGTTTCGAACATCTGATTGGGCATCTTCAGACGTCTCAAAACATATTCGGACCTGTTCAAACATCAGTCAAAAGACCCGCCAAGTGCATGTTTCAGAAAAAATGGCAGTACCCCTCATGACCGTTGCTTTCCCCTTGAAGAAATAACGCAACATGGCCAACAACGATGATGACTTTGGGTCCCCACGGGGAATCCGGAATCCCCCAAGGTCTGGTTTACTATTACGTTCCAAATAGTTTGCCCGTCGATGGTAAAAACTCCCTGGTCCCTGATATCTTGTATCCATGATTTATCCACCATTTTACGACTTAGATCCCCTATGCTTGATTAAGTTAAGCTCCTTATTCGTAACGCTACTCACATTTTATCCATTCATGCCATTCATTTTAATGGATTCTTCTTCCGAAAAAACGATCCATCTTTGGATGCGAAAACACCCATGACCCCCAGTTCCCTAAAAACTCGCCGCGGGTTTGAGGCGATATGCAAGACCAACTGGCGCGCATGCAGCCGCGGGGCGGCTCAAGGAGGAGATCCCGTGTTTCTGAGTGAAGATTTTCAAATATCATGGGAATAGTTGATGTTTGGATAAATTCATATGGCTAGATATGATGGGAATATGATGGGAATATGATGGGAATAGTTGATGTTTGATGTTTGTTTAAATTAAAATATGATGGGAATATGATGGGAATATATAGCTGATCATAATAGTATATATATATATATATAGCTAGAATATTAACTGTTAGCAGTAGCTCCAAATATCACAAACTGCTAGTAAGTGGAGATATACCTTTTGTTATTTTCCGTATTGCTGCTATTTGAAATATGGATATTACTCTCTTTATATATATATATGTCGAGTGATTCAGTGATGGTTATATAGTAATGATATATTTATCATTTATGTAGTGGTGAACCATGGGTGTTGCAATATTATGTTGGACTATAGGTTACCATCATCAAAACTAATGGGTACCACTACTATTAGTATTGTGATAGGTTTTGGGACAATTAGCTGGGATTAGCTTCAATACGATGCCACACATACTTTGAAAATAATAGGGATATGATGACATGACATAGTGGGATTGACATGTTCGTATAATATGATATTACCAATTACCATTTAACGGTCATGTACACTATGATCATAGTAGCCACCAAAACGATGCCGAAAATACCTTGGAAACCTCATCAAACTAGCACCCTACACACACTTTGCGGCATCTGTTCGGGGGTTGCTATACTGAGAATATTTTATGGGATTCACCCAGTACGTAAGGAGAATTAGTTGGATTCATTAAATTGGACCACATAATATAAAGGTACGGATCAAAATACAAGACCTGGGGGACCTGGGGGACCACAGCTTCAAGTCTATTTTTGTATATAGTCATCCACAAAAAAGGGGAACTGAAGCTTGACCCATAGCCATATGACGAAGAAACCTAGAATATACTGTAACTGGTATAATGGATATGGATTTATGATTAGGTGCATCAAAAATATCCCGACTTTAGCCAGTATCCAACCCTACTTGGTTGGATCCAAGCTAGGAATATCTAGAGCTAGGATTGGTTTGGATTTGTATGGATTTACTGGTGCATCAGGTGCATCCCAATGTATTCCCATAACTCAGGTGACGTCGACGATGTGGTTGGTCATATTTTCTGAAGTTTGCAGGCTTACTATCATTCTTGCCGTTTGAAGTTTGAATCCGTGCTGTAAATCGCCCACAAAGTGTGGAGGTTGCATGTGGTCCAGTTGCGGTGCTGCTCATGACAGAATGTGGTCCACCTCCCATTTTGTTTATCAATATGTTAATCATCAGTTTAATCCCATCCCGCGTTCATATTAAAGACCCCACAGGAACTTTATTTTCGGATGAACTCACATATCTGGAACCATACAACGGGGGTGCTCAATAGTACGGGTATTGATACAAAAAGACATCGCAGCCAGTCAACAAGTGTTATCAATCTGTGGATAGGTCTCCCACTTTCCATATTTATCATAAGTTTGATCCACATGATCACCAGCAACATATAAGTTATCATTGAAATGAAGGGAAAAATCAACAACGAAACAACTGAAACAACTGATATATTTCTGGTGATTTTGTGGTATAAGTTATTTTTGATCACCACTGCCTGATTTCTCCACCATCTGAGGCCGCCCGCGCCGGTGAATGTGGGAGTCCCGGCACCCGGAGTGCCACCCCCGGCACCTGGCTTTGCACCTGGGTCGAAGCGGGGTGAGTCATGGGGGGCTGGGATGAGAATGAGTGAGATCTCAGCTTTTTGAAGGTGTTGTTTTTGTAGATTGTATCAACATCTAATGGTTGATGGTGATATGTCATCGTCTATAGTAGCTATTTCGCTCGGTAAAACATGGGATTTGAATGGTTGATATATGTTGATATACTGTAATGGGATAGTTCCCCAAACAAACAGTGTGTCCACCCTGAGGGGTTCTTACGGAAGGTGTTACGGCCGGGGCTAGATCAGGGTGCTCCATCTCTGGCCGCGGCATTTTTGCTGTAAGTTCTCGCCTAAAACTTGTGAGATGTCCATGTGCATTTCGACTGCGCAGGCTCGCACAAAATGTGGGAACTGATTTGTCTCTTCCAAAGGTCTCGTTTTACCAGCGCGTCGTGCTCGTTTTTTGAGCTATTGTCCATTTCGTGTGGCAGGCGTCGGACATCCGGGACATTTTGAGGTCTAAAACGTTATTTTGCCTGGCAGGCGCAGGGCATCGGGCGCTTTTTCGTCCGCGGGAAGGCTTGGGACATTTTGGAGGTTGAAAAAAAACGTTGGCAGGCATGGGTCGAAATGAGAGGTGCTTTTGAAAGGGTCGAAAGTCTCGTCTTGCGAAGCTGTCGTCATTTTTGAGTTTGGACGTGCTGATTCCGTGTTTGGCAGGTGCAGCACTTCTGATGCCTCGGGCTCATTTGGCAGGCGCAGTGCTTTGTAGACCTCGGAAAAGAAGTGCCTGAGACCTATAGGTTAAAACGTCGTTTTTGACTTTTTCAATGTTCATGTTTCGTGGGGCGCTCGCACAACCTTCTCGGCACTTTGTGGGTGTCAGATCGCTCTCGTTGCGGCGCGGTGCGCATTGTAGCTGCTTCGCAAAGTTCCTGGCAAAGAGACCGTATAAGTTCTGCGGAAAGTCTTTTTAGAATGGGTTTGCAAGTGTTTGCAAGAGTTGAGATCTTGACCAAGGTCTTGTAGAGGTCCTTGTGAGAAGATGTGAGAAGATGAAGATCCTGATGAAATCCTTTAAGAGGTCCTTGCATGATCTTGTACAGATCCTTGGATGCTTATAGGAAAATCTTCCTTATAGAAGGCCCTTCTCTGACAATTTTTTGAAATTCTCGTATCTGGTATGAGGTCCTGATTAGTAGACATGGCGACATAGCGTTGCTTCTTGTGCCAAAACAAGTTCCCCCTGCTGCAGTTACAATAATGTTTACCCTCATCTGTTGCTGTTCCATAGCCACTGTTACTGCTGCTTGTATCTGGCACATTGGCTCCTACCCCCCCACACTCTTTGGGGTCTCATGCCGGTGTAATGATGGGTTTGTCTCAAAAAGAAATGGAAATTTTCCAGGGAGGGAAGCAATCACTAACAGTTGGGTTCGGGGTAGGTCAGTCGAATCCCATTTTTTTTTGCCGAGTTTCAACTATTTTTTTGGTTTAATGGTAAATCCCTCACTGAGCATATTTGTTTGGAAGGGTGGTTGCCCATTTCTTCTATAGGAACATAATTCTGACCCAAAAATGAGTACCCATTCAGTCACATTTCTGTTTCTCCTGTTGGCCTTTGTTGCTTGCTGCAGCCCCATTTCTATTTTTGTTGGAACATTTTGGTTTCAATCCCAATCATGTTGGGAAATTTCTTCCGAAATCTCTGGATGAACTCCGTTTTCTTGAGAATGATTCATTGTTTTAAACACATCATCAATGATATCAATGTATTGATGAGTAGAGGGGTAATCCCATAGTTTTTTCTTCCAACACCTTGGTTTTTCAACGCCACAATTTTGTTAAACCCAGGCTGCAGGGCCCCCAGGACCTCCTACAAACCAGGCGCGGTATCATCGGCATATTTTATAGGAAATTGATGATTTCTTGGCAATTTTGGGAAATGGGATCCAAAACAAATAGAACAATATTCATGAATATTCATGATAGTATATTATTTATTCTATATTTTATTATTAATGGGTCTATTGATGGTATCGATGAAGTATGACGGATTTTTTTTGCCGTCAAAACTTTGGATTTCACCAGATTTCGCCATGGGAAAAACAATTATTACATTGGGATAGATTTGGGATACTTATAAATAAAAATTACGACCCCCATATATAGAATTATAATGAATTATATATATATATGGTACCGTATGGTAAGGTATGGTAAGGTAAGGTAAGGTATGGTAAGGCATAGTATGGCGTGATATGACATGATATGATTATGATTATGATTTTTGATTGTGATATGATATTCGTATAATGAATTCATCTGAGGAACTATGTATGACCTCGCCACAACGTCATTTTAAATCATGAACGGTAGAGGGAACCATCACAAAATGAGTAAATCATGTCAGCTGGTGAGTTGTTATGATTTAGCCAGATTCATAGTCTTTTGGCAGATCATGAAAATTGATCCAGCTAATGAGGTTGGGATCTCTCAGCAGTTTTGTTTTCTTACAGTGATACCATTGTTGCTCTCTTTTTCATCATGTTTACGTACTGTTTTCTGCGACTTTCCCACTTTCCAACACCTTTGCCCATGTTTTTTTCCTGTCACACTTCCATCATTTTTCCTAACACCTTCATGTTCCCATGATTTCCTCCATCCATGAGATACTTCCCACAACTTTCCCTTACCGTTTCCCCCAAAAAGTCATCCCAGCTTTGCCATGGCTTCGCCATGCCCAGGCCTCTACGCACGTCCCGCCGATGCCGCCCAATCTGAGCAATGAGGTGCCACTTTTCATGGATTTTTACCACGGGTTTCGTGGGAAAATCATCGAACTACCCTCTGGTAAACGTTTTACATAGCTATGGAAAATGGCAGATTTATAGGATGTTTTACCCATTATATAAAATATCTAAAAATGGTGATGTTCCATATAGTTTACTGGAGGGTAAATGATGGTTTTTCTAGCAAACCATGTTTGATTAGCGGAGGGTAATAGGTAAATAATCTAATTTCATGGGTCATGCTCCATTTCGATGTGGCATTTTCTAGATGGTAACCATTTTCAGTAGCGGATTTCTGCGGGGTATGGTTGTGGTATGATGCACCATCCCCAGGTGGGATGAGCCTGGCCCTTTGAAAAAAACTGGCCACGACAACTGAAGTTGGCCAGTGCATATCTCAAGTGTTGAGTACCCAAGAACGGCAACAAAGGATTGTTGGTGAATCTGAAGTGATTTGTTTCACACCCTGATGGCTTCGAATCGTAGCGAATTGAGGTGGACCATGGTGGAGTCAGGTGGACCCATCTTCCCAGGACCAACAGAAGTTCCAGCAAATCTATGGGACCACGCCACAGGTCACCGATGGACCGATGGGTGTTTTTGTGAAGCCAGGTGGATTTTGTGAAATTCCCATTTCTGGACGAAGCTGCATATCTTTTCGTTGCTTGTACATCCCATCATACACCCATTATACAGTATAGGATTATATATAATTATATATATATATATGTTTGGTTTGGTTCAATATCAATATCATATATCATATATCATATATCATATATCATATATCATATATCATTTGGTTTGGTTCAATGCCCCCATTTATAGGGGCAGACCCGTATCTATGATGGGTTCCTTCCCCACCAAATGGTTTGTCAAATAGCATATCCCACATCCCAGTTGGTGGATAATGTCATGGATAGTACAACGGTAGCATACTCTGGGGTTCCCCAAAAGATAGGCTACGCATATTTCCAGGATGCTATAGATGATGCTTCTGAGCCATCATTTCAAGGTTTCCAACTTTTTCTATCTCTTTGGGGGTGCTTTACAGTTGGTTTCTATCCGTTTCAGGCCGCAAAGGCTCAGAGGGAGAAGTTTGGATTGACGGGGATCTTGGAGGTGCCACCCTCCAGGGATCTGCGGATCCATGGGGGATCCAGGGGCTGTGGGTTACTTGCTGGCTCACCCTTAGGGTGGAAGCCAATTTTCCATCATTGGATGGGTATAAAATGGTATAAACCACTGCCATTCCTGCCATCTCCAGCGAAAGACATCCCACTTGGATCATTCCATTTCGTAAGTGGTTAGTTGTTAGTAATTAGTTAAGTTAATATTTCCCTTGGGCTTCAGACATCTTCCAAGCCACTCCCATGGCATAACGTTAGGCAGCCGAATCCCCTTTGGTGATCCCCGTCCCAGCGTCCTTCCTTCGCAGGTGGTTCGCATGCACGACCCGCATCTGAACACCTTGGCGTTGGGGATGGATCTCACAGGTACCCTCTGTGGTAAACTAACATAACTATGGAAAATCACCATTTTTAATGGGAAAATCCACTATAAATGGTCATTTTCAATAGCTATGTTAAATTACCATAGGGTAATCGATGGTCATGGAATGTCCAGTTGGTGATCGGATCATCCCAAGGTTGATCTTGTTCCCATAGGATCCATGGTGCTGCTATATATGGTGTGCCATGGATCCCATCAATATACCACCAATGTTAGCATATATACCATAGATCCTATGGGGTTGGGATAGAACCTGTTTTTTTCGGGATCAGGGATAGAACCAACCAAGAATCTCGTGCCATGGTCAGGTTACTAACGGGTTGCCGGTTAGTTGGGGGATGGTCAATAATTCATGGGTTAACAGGGATCTAAATATACCCACTATGTTAATGTTGTGATCCCTAAAGTCAATCGAAAAGACTCGATTGTAGCCAGGGTCCAGGGTCTTCCCCATGGCAAACTCCAGGCCCAGTCATTGGAACCGACACTTTTGTGCCATCACAATGACATACAACGACCACACATCCTATTTCCGAATCACTTTCCAGCCCAAAATTTAAGCAGCAGATGGACATTTATTTTGCAAAAAAGACATGCACATTTCATCATATTTCCATTTGCTCGACAATATATCCCAAATTTATATGAATTTATATATGCCATGGTTTATGACTGCATGTAATTATACATATTGCATATGAGGTATGGGTCATCAATCCCATAGTGGGAATCCAAACTCAATAGGTATATCGGTATATCCATCATTATGAACATGTTGCTGTTCCATGTTTTTCCGAATGATCCACTTTTGCGATTGATCATATTGATTTCCATTACGCAAGGGTTCCAACCCATAGGGGTCCTTCCCTTCTCTTATAAAAGGTGTCCTCAATAAAAACAGATTCGGAGACGCCGGAGACGAGATCTGAAACTAGCGACCTCACTAGGACGTCCCAAAAACGTATCATTGATATTGAGCGTATCATTGATATTGAGGAGGCCATGACAATTTTTTTAGAACGGCTTCTCAATTTTTCTTGGATTTATTTATAGGAAGATCACGGATCCAGAAAATGAGTGTACCTATCATACCTATCATACCTATCCAACAATTTAGAGGAAAAACGATAGCATGATGCTTTGCATTGGATTTTCCATCACATTCTCCAGACAGACCACACCACACCCGTTTCCTGCTCGACCTGCCGACAGCTCTGGGGCAAATGAATTTCCCGGATGCCTTCCACCTCAATGCTGGGTGCCTTTGGCCTGTTGAGATAGGTGCTGTTTAAAAGTTACCAGCGGGGGCCATGCTCACAGCGACAACAGCCATCCTTCGTCATGAATGACTGTTAATATGGGTGAATCTATAATTAATTATATGATGTTAATATTCACCCTTCTATTAAAATGAAATTAATTCATAGCTGTTAATATGGGTGAATCTACCCATGACTTGTGGAATCTACCCATAGCTGATTAAGTGGGATGACCGTACCTTGTATACATCCATTCCATTCATCCTATATGTTTTGACCATGGATTTTACCGAACATTCCAATCTGGTAAATCGACGTCACGACGTCAACCCCTGAATATTAAAATGGTGGAATTTCGAAATTAATTGAGGGAAACCAGTTGATGCAGTGCCTCCGAACCTACTTGTTCCGCTCTGCCAGTGCTGTTTCAACCGGCAAGAAGCTGTTTGGTGGACCATACCCCATGCATTTCATGGTCTTTATGAACTATAGGAATTCCTGGCGCTTCCCCACTGCCCATGTTGGCATGATATCTTGGCATAGCTGCCACTTGTGTTTCAAAAGGGGATCCTTACAAGTTCACCTTTTTACACTGCGTTCCACCGGTGATGAAACAGGACTGATGTTCCGACATCTTAAGATGATCCAATGCACGCATCTCCAATGCATATCCTCCATTTCTTATGGCTTTGTCATTGTCTGAACATAGGCTTTATCCAAATCGGATGATCTCCACCGCCAGGATCGAACTCCCTCCAACGCGGCGAGAACCCGACTACAACTTGCCACAGAGTGCCATGGCACTAGCGATTCGGAGTGTGGGGGAACAGCTGGGGCGATAGCAGAGCTGAATGGGATTTCAATATATATTTCAATATATTTAATTTCAATTGGATTTAAACCAAGCGACATGGTGATTTAATTGGATGTGAATGGGATTTTAGCAGCAAAAGTGGTGGTTTGAATGGGATTTCAGCTTGATGAGGTGTTAAATGTGGAAATAAAACTCGGAAGCCCAAAATTCTCGGTGGATGAAGAATCCATGGGTGATTTTGAAGAACTCATCTACCCTACACACACAAGTCATAGTTATATTGTACATATGTGTATGTACAATTAATATCAATGAATTAAGAAACACTATTATAAACATACATATACTTAAATGTATAGTCTTTAGTAACTTTAGTAATCTTTAGTCCATGTAGTTGTTCATTTTCTGCAATTATTCATTTGAATTTTGTAACGCGATCCCAAAAAAAATGTCCAGACAGCCTGTCTTTCATGCGGCTGCCACCAGCCTGCGATCATCTGCGATCCGCAAGGGGACCATCAAAGTGGATTCCCATGACCCATGACCCATTTCAATCATTTGGGGATGGGTCAAAACCCTGGTACCTAGTGAACCCCAAAATAGCTGGTAAATGGATGTTCATCCCCCCAAATATAGCAAGATTGGTTTTGACACATCCCCATTTTAAATCCATTTAAAGTGGATTTTCAAGCTAGCCATGTTTGATCATGTTTGATTACCCGAGGGTATACGTGGCTGGTCCAATTAAAAAGGGACTGCCGCAAGATCCGAGGCTATTTCTCGAGCCCTCCGGCCCTGAAGCAGGTGCTGGGAAGTTGATCAGTTACCCATGACGGATCCATGGTGCTGCTATATATGGTAACATGGATCCCATCAATATACCCCCTTTATGTTAGTATGTTAGCATACATGGATCTTATGGGTTATAGAGAAGCTCATTGAAAATGAGTCCACAAAAAACATAACTATACATAACTTTCATTTGATTCTTCGATTTTCTCTGAAACTTGGCCGAAGCTCGAGCCGCAACTCCAACTCGTTTTTTTCCACAGACATCCGCTGCTCCGGTTGCTGTGAGTTGCCGCGGATGCCAGTCGCATGTGAGCAAGTTCAGTGGTGAGACCCTCTTCTACATGTTCTACAACATGCCGAAGGAGAACCACCAGGTGGACCGAGGGAATACAGTGTGAATAGAGTAGGTCAATTTTTTTCAGTTGCATGGTGGTTTCAAACCAATGATATTGTATGATATTGTTGCAACTTGTACAATGAAAATGATGCAACCATCTGATTTTAAGGGTCCTGTGGCCGATTTTCAGACGAACCCGTTTTGTTTTCTTTCAACCCTACAAGATGGGGCCCCCAAGATATAAGTTAGATATAAACTCTGCATGTGATTTTGTAAGTTGACTTAACCCTGGGTAACTCATGGTACATCTTCTGTAACTCATCATAATGTTATAACTAAGTTGGGGACTTGTAACTTAAGTTGTCGTTTTTGCTTTGGGAAGATAGAAAGAAGTTACAGAAGTTACGTTTTGGGTGGTTGGATTTCTGGTTGGAATGGAAACATCCGCTGCGAAGCCTTTTTTTTGGTTCATTTAGCTCTTTTTGTGGAAGAAGGTGGCATTTGGCCTTGAACAATGGCTGCTGGTGCAAATCAAGCTGCTGGGAGGATGCAAATGCAAGACTATAGAACTTGCATTCATTTTCTGAATGATGAGGTGTGGACCACGCTTGTGGACAGTCCTACAAGCACGCAATTGCAACGGGTGGAAAAACTGACTCGATATTTGATCTATGACTTGGGTCTGAGACATGCGAGTGAACCCACATGTGCTATGATAGGAGCCATGGTTGCTAGGTACGAACAGGATCCGGCACGACAGAGTGCTTTGCTTCAGACCGTGAAGGCTTGCCTGAAGACGCATTCCTTGCGTGCCATTCAGGCAGGGCGGTCTTTGCCAGGAAATCAATATTTAGAGGTTTTGCCAGGCACGTTTGATGAATTGCCGGAGGCAGTGCGAAATCATTTCGGGCTTGGTGCCTTTTCTGCAATTCCCGTGTCGGTGGATGCGGAAGCGGTTGCATCCTTGGCAAGGATGTATCCGTTACGGAGCACCAACCGACAGATGGCGCTGCAGAGGCAGCTGAACCAGCAAGCCATTGGTCTTGGCTCGATGGGGGTTTCGCCAGCTGGAGGTTCTGTCGCTGCCGCTCAAGCAGTCATGATGTTGGCATCGATGTTGCCACTGCAGGGCATGGCCAATCAGTTGGCAGCACAAAGATCCGATGGTGGTTTAACGAACTTGCAGATTTTGAACACAGCGCCAGCGCAAGCGGCTCCTGCATTCTGCAGCATCTGGCGGCTTGATGCGTTTGTTGGATCGAGTTGACTCCACGGAAGCATCTGTATCCGCAGCACCGGTGGCAGCGTCGCAACCATCCGCTGCCCTGCAGCCTACATCTCCACAGTTGGCAATCATGGATCAGGTTGCAAGAACGGGGGCATCTTCTCCTGCAGAGTTGTTGCCAGAGACTGGTGTGGCTGCGAGGCCTGCGGAGCAGAGTAGTGCTGCTCCTTTGGCATCTCCAGCGGTGGAGCCCCCGCAATGCAGCTCAGAGCATCAGCCGCCGACGTCCGCGGCTGTGGAAAAGTCTTTGGAACAGGACTCGTTGGAAACGGCTCCGAGCAGCGTTGCAGACGCTGTGTCAGCATTGGCGAAAGCACATTATAAAGCGGTTTTGCCTGCTGAGGGTGAGGAGCCATTGCCACCGAAGAGGCGGGGACGGCCGCCTTTGAAAAGGCCTGCGTCGGCTGCTGCACAGGGGTCGCTGACCAAGAAGTCAGATGCTGCAGCCGCGAAGTCCGTTTCTGTGGCAGCTTCTGCTTCTACAGGGTCTGTGAAGAAACCAGCTGTGAGTGCCAAAGGGAAAGCTATGAAGAAGTTGCATCCGTCCGCCAAGGGATCCAAAGGCAAGGATCGCTTCAGCAAGGGGGGGATGAAGGTCACGCAAGCGCAGCGAATGAAGCAGCGTCCGGATGGCTGCAGCCGCTGCCGCTATACTCGTGGATGCTGTGCCTCGTGTTGGAAGAAACGTGGCTACGAGTTGATTTGAAAACACCTTAATTCGATTTGATCAAATTAGTTTGGGAGACTTCGCTGGCCTAGCGGGATAAAGGGGTTGGCATTTGTGGTTTCTGTTTGTGCCTGATTGCTTAGAGATGTTTGCAGCTTCAAACTGTATCGGAGGACCACAGCATGTGGTTTCATTTTGTCATGTGTTGCATAATGTCATTGCATGAAAGACATTTGGCTTTTGACTGTAGGATTTATCGCGGCTTCTACTACGGGATCTTCTGCCATGGAAGTTAAAGGCATCACGACCGTGACATTGACTGATGGTTCGGTTGAAGCGGTGAGTGGAGCGAAGAAGGTGACATTCAAGATGATCACTCTGGATGATCATTGGGAAGAGCAGAAGTTGTTGGAAACGCCGGCTACGCCCATGGAGTTGTGTTCTGACTCGTCTGGGACGCAGCAGGTGGGTCCAACGCAATTGGACGAGGTGCCAAAGACCCCGTTGGATGCCGTGGTGTCGACAGCGACGCCTCAGGAGCCTCACTCGCAATTGGCTGGCTGGCGTCGCACTGTGCACAGCGCAGCGCGTGAGTGCATGCAGGAGATTCAAGAGCGTGTGGCGCTTGCTGAAGTCTACAATAAGCTTGAAGATTATCCGATTTACACGAAGTTGGTGGATCTTTGCGATGGACTGCGGTCAGATCCCACTTTCGACAAGAGTCACGCGCACGAGACCTTGCGTCTTGCGCGCATGTACTTGTATTTGTGTGACTTGGAATCAGACGAAGAGGCTTAGCTTAAGCGACTGCTCTGGTCATTACGCATGTGACGTGTGTTTCTTAGATTTTTAGAGTGAATTGGACACACGGGCTCTGACCAAAACAAGTGCGGTTGGTTCATCCGTTCCTGGTCGAAGGGCAAGGAATACATTGCGGCAGAAAAATATTAATATATATGTACTTGTAGATATTATATAGACGTCTATATATAAAATATTTATTTATCATTTCTTTCTACAATATTGTACACATATAATATATGTATATATGGTTTAAATTGGCATTGCGTTCATGGTCTGAAACGTTTGCATTGCACTGTAGATTGTAACGCTGTGTTTTCGGCTCGAGCAACCTTTTAAGAAGAGCTCGCTGTGCTTCTGACTATCTGAAGCAGACTGTACCGGCAGGCGCGATGGGGGGACGGAAGTTTGTGTATAACGATTATATATGTCTATTTGAATTCTCTATGCTGACTTTTCGTGTGGGTGAGTCTCAGCAATCTTTATTATTAAGGTGTTTGCTAGCTTGTAGAATAGCTGGCCGACGGGCCATTGGAGGTAGCTGTGCCTACGGACCAGCTTCTCTCTTATCGAAAGCAACCGCACGACGCAATTAGCTGTGCCTGCGGGCCAGCTATTCTTGCGCTGCCTTAGCTGTGCCTGCGGGCCAGCTCCCCTTCAGCTGTGCCTGCGGGCCAGCTCCTCTTGCTCTTCTTTAGCTGTGCCTGCGGGCCAGCCCCTCGTGTTAGCTGTGCCTGCAGGCCAGCTCCTCTTGCTCTGCCTTAGCTGTGCCTACGGGCCAGCTCCTCTGTCGCTGTGCCTGCGGGCCAGCTCCTCTTGCGCTGCCTTAGCTGTGCCTGCGGGCCAGCTCCTCTTGCCCTGCACTAGCTGCGCCTGCGGGCCAGCTGCCGTGCGAGTCATTGGCCTCGCTTAGTGTTGGCATTCATATCACTCGATCCATGTTTGGTTTCATCACCCGATAGATATATAGATAGATAGATATATATAATTATATATATATATATATAGATACATCGATATATATGATCAGCAACCTCGATCGGTATATATAGCATGGAAAGTGACATATTATTTAACATTAAATTACTTGAATCCGAATCACCATTGTTTCCCACGTTTCGGTTTTCTCTGTGCTCGTACAGGCGTGGAACTACGCAATGCCGTCCTCCAGTGAGTCAAGAAGTAGGTCGGCCAGACGCAGTCCAGACAGACGGGGCGGTGAGACGTCTGGAAGGCCAGAGGATGTGGATCGTGGGAGGATGCCTCCGCCAGAGCCAGAAGGCGAGCCGCCTAAACCTGCGACGCAGACGGCGCCCAGCGCCAGTCGAGCGCGCAGGGCAGGTGGCGGTGCAGTTCGCCATCGACGTCAGGATGGTGAGGCTGGTACTTGGACATGTCCCGACTGCAGGAGAGTCATCAGTGACTGCCCAACCGCTCGGGACCAACATATAAATGGAACCTACCACAGGGCATCCCTCCTGTGGAACGAAGGGTTCCATAAGGATTTCGGGCAGTGCCAACAAGAAGTCTTGCGCAGACTGGATTGGGAAGCCCAGGAACGCAAGCGCGAGAAGCAGCTGCGGCTTGTGTCCAGGGCGCGGTCAAGCTCGCCCCAGAAGCGACGCAAGTCCGTGTCGCGAGAACGGAAGAAAGACAGGTCTAGCCGTCGCCGTGAGAGACGATCAGACCGCGAGTCTCGTCGGCGGAATCGCAGTACGGGCAGGCGGGCACGGAAGCACCGCGAATGCGAGGCTGCTGACAAAGAAAAACCGCTGCGTGAGCGCAGCGAATCGAAGCGGAGGCATGGACAGGAGCGCGAGAAGCCGCGGCAGTCGCAGGGACGTCCCCGTTCCAGCGCCGCCACGGAACCTGCTTATGAGGTTGTGCGTGTGACTGTCAAGGAAGAAAAACGGGTCACTGCTTCCGGTGCGAAGGACCAGAAAGAAGCTGAGCCAGAGTCGTCCGAGTACACCTATGAATATGAATCGGCTTCGCCAAAGATGGAAACGGATGATGCAAAAAAGGGTAAGGCGGCCGTGGGAGCGCAGGCGCAGACGGCAGCTGTGAAAAAAGAGCAAGAACTGAAAACAGCTGCCAAGATGGCGCCTGTGGCCAAAGCGGGTGCTGCCGAAATGAAGACAGCTGACGCACCTGCAAGTGCTGGCGACCAGGTCGGAAGCGGCGGCGCACAGGATCGCCGTGCTCGCATGTTCAACGAGCTCTTGAAGACGGCCATGGAGACGGCCGCCAATCTAGAACGCTGAGCAGGACTGGTTGCACAGCTGAGCCGCACAGGTGCCTTGCAGAGTCGGCACTAGGATAGGGTGCGAATTCGCCTTGTACAGACTGCTGTGACTCGACTGTTCGGACAGAAAAAACTATGGATACCTTAGCAACTTAGGAAACGCGCCTGTGTTTCCTCATGAAAATAGGAAGGGGCGGGGAAACGCGAGTGTGTTTTCACCCAAATGTAGGGGAAAAAAGGAAACGCACATGTGTTTTTGGTCAACATATTAAAGTAGATACTGGAAACGCGTGTGTATGAGGAATGTGTTTCCACTTGGCACATTGCTTTTGTGAATTTCAGATGTGTTTTCGATTAAACCGGGAAACGCGTATGTATATCCGAGGCAAAACCATTCTTTTTGATGGAAACGCGTATGTGTTTTTGGAACAACAACACCAAAGGTAGGAAACACGCATGTATGAGGAATGTGTTTTTTTGTGTTTCCTATGTTTCACCATTTCCAGTGAGTTTCAGTGTCTCAAAAGCCGGTTTTCCTGTACAGAAAGTGTCCCACGGCCATGGCGACTGTGACACCGGATGTAGCTGCCTTGGCAGAGGAGCAGCCAACGGTTCCGTCGACGATCATGGAAGCGGCTGCGGACGCTGGTGCGGCCGCGTCCGATTCGATTCAGTCGACAGAACCGTCTGCATCTGCAGCAGCAGAAGACAAAAAGGTGATTTGTCGTCGCTGCAATCAGGAGACGGCTGAGGAAGACGCGTTGTGTCAGGAGAAGTTCAGACTGGACCTGCGCTGGACCTGCAAAGCATGTCATGCGCTGTTGACTCAACTGAACCGACACGGAGTCGAACTGAAGACAGTGTTGTCGGAAACTGAGTCTGTGAAGTTCTTCCAGGACTGCAAAGCGGCTCGCATGAATGCTGTGGATAAGCGACTCAGCTACACGCAAGCCCGCGGGGTCTTGAAGCAGTCCATGATTGAGAGCGCAAGTCGTGTCTCGACTGAAGGTGAAGAAGGTGAGTTTCAGCCCTTGATCTATTGGGAACTCAAGGGGTACAACACTGAAGCGATTGAGGCAAGCGCTGAACAGCGCACACACCCATTGCTGGGTACGACATACAAAGTCGACATCGAGTCGACGAGCACCAAGCGCATCCACTCTGTCACTGAGCAACGCATCCTGCAGATGGAATCTGAGGCCCGTGAAAAGGCGCAGGCTAAGGCGCAGCCAGCTCGCCCTCTGTCAGCGCCAATGGACTTGCCTCCAGCGCTGGATGACTTGCAGCCTGGTAAGAAAAGGAAGACCGCAGAGGAGAAGAAGCAATCGCAGGAAGAAGCCAAGGCTCAGCGCCAAGAGGATAAGAAGCGACAGAAAATGGAGGTGACAGCGTGCGCAGCAGCTGCAAAGTTGCTGCCTCAACTCAAGAAGTGTCACGAGAAGCTGGCTGCCTGCAACGAAAAAGTTGCCGAGCTGAGTTCCGTTGTGGCTCTTCCTGATGCCAGCAAGGAGCAGCTGGCCACTGCTCAGGAAGATCTTGATGCAGCCATGGGCAATTGCAGCAAGCTTCTTGGAGCAACGGCCAAAGGCGGGTCGCTGAATTCCTTCGCGGCGGATGCTTTGCAGAACGATAAGAAACTGATCACTGTGGTCAAGAGTGGGATGCAGCCATTCGGACTGCGCAGGCATTCATCAAGACGAACAAAGAGAATGCGCCGAAGAAGTCTGCGAAGGCTAAGGCAAAGAAATGATTCTTTGGCCCTGCGGCCTGGCAGCCAAAGCGTGTTTGTGGACACGCTCACATGGCTGACAGTACTATACTTTCAAAGGACATCGCATTTGGCGTAGACTGAAACTGACACGCTTTCGAGGGATTTCCAGTAGCAGTGCGTTCCTGCTCTGATGACTCTGGGACTTAGCAATGCTGAAGTGAAGCATTTGACAGCAGTTGCACAATTCTAGAAAAACTGCAATGTGCTTTCAAGTTTGATGCATATAATATATGTGTTATATCGGTACCATTGCTTTGCTAGTCCGTATCGTTTCCATTCCATAGTTGCTGCTCATGAGGGTGTCATTGTTCACTTGTAATAACAAAACCAAAACCTATATCTTCCCAAGCGCCATGACTCTCTTCCGTTAGCGCCATGCATGCCGGAAGATTTTGGTTCCAGAGAACACCATATAGTGAGAATATTCCAGATTGGGGCCGCAATGGTACTTTTATGCGCTATGTCGCTGGCGACAAGCGTGGCTGCCGCGCTGCGGGAATCGGCGAAGACTGAGGCCGAGTTGCACGGTCTCGCTGAAGCCGTTGAAGTCATGAAAGAAATCTTGGCTCAGGTTTCTGTGAATCCAGGCTACAAAGATCACACTGCTGCGGCATCCTTTTGTCATTGCTGCTTGTATACGCTTCGCGCTATACTTTTGGACTGGAGCATCTCAACCACTGCAGTGCAAACGATGCCGCTAGCAAAGATGCCAAAGATCGAAGGCAATGCTGTGTGGCACGTCGAGCATCCCAACTGTCGGATCTTCCTGGCAGAGGTTCAAAGCAGCATGCGGTTCCTCACCCTTCATTCGAAGGCATTCGAAGGCGAGCCATGGGTATGGTTTGTGGATTTCTTAGAGACGTTGGAATATCACTTGGCTGTTTGACGCAAAGGATACGAGGAAGCAAACGACGCAAAAGTGTTCTGCCATGACCGGATCTGCTGCTGCACCGTGGATTCGTTTGATGAATGTGGAGGGCAGCGGTGGATCATGTTGATCAGTGTCTGACCTTGATAAAACAAGATGTTGCCCTTATGCTTGCACCTTTCGTTCTTCATTCATGCAACGTATGTTGAACTTTTTGTTTTTTGGTTATACTTATAGCTCCTGAAAAACTTATATATTTAATATAGCGCAAAGAATCAAATGAATGTAACACCTCCAACCCCATATATATGATAACCCGTACATATAATACAAACTCAGATATTGAATCGTGATAGACATCAAAATATCAATTGTTATAATAATTCATTTGTATCCGCAGGCATCCCCAACACAAATGACAACTCGAACATGTCCAATGGGAGTCGCAACGATGCCATGGATCGAACCGGCTTGCGGCAGGCCTTGGCCCGCTATAGTGAGACAAGCATTTTCGCAGTGAGAAAGTTGCTGTCTGGGGAAAATCCCTCTGCACGCAGTGGCAGCTTCAAACGTGCCGCAGCGGAAGTGCTTGGACCATATCGCCAGTGCTATCAGCCAGTCAATGTGCCGAATGTCGAAGCTGACCGGCCGGATGTGACATTCTACATGGCTGATTTGAAAAAAATTCTTTGTCTGCTTGCGCAGCGCTGCGAGTCCTTCTTGCAACTTCTGCGACAGCCGGGTGCGCCGGAAGTGCGGCTTGAAGCATTTCTGGCGCACGATGAGTGCACAGCTGGCAACGTTCTGAACCCGTTGCAAACGCAAAAAACATTGCTGTTCTATTGCACCTTTTCCCTTTTGCAAGACACCTTTGTGAGCAGCCGAAGCTGGATTCCGGTGGCAGCCATTCCACACTGTGATCTAACTTCTTGCCGTGGTGGCATTGGTGCTGCAACTGCAACGTTTTTGCGCCGCTGGGATCAAGATGGGCTCGATGTTCCTTTTGATGTTGCGCCCGGAGTGCGCGCATCAGTCCACCTGCAAGGATTTGTGAGCGACGGAGACAGTCAAAGGGCTGCATTTTCTGCTAAAGGATCTGCAGGCCTGAAGCCGTGTACCTTTTGTGCCAATGTTCTGAAACGTGGCTGCGCCGCAGCTGAACGGGATCCAAACTTTGTGACCATAAGTGAACATAACTTGGCTAAATTTCAGTTGTATGATGCGCGGGAATTGGAAGCGGCCATTGTGGCCTGGCTAGCTCGCAAGCCCGCCATGACGAAGCATGAAATTGATCTCAGGGAACGATGTTTAGGTTTCCGGCTGGACGCAGACGGAATCTGGGGCTGCGGCACCGCAAGAAGGAAGCTGACCATCGACATGGCCCTGAATGACTCCATGCATTGCTATTTTAGCACTGGCATCGTCAACACGGAACTTGTCTTGTTCCTTGGACAAGCATGGAAAGTGGCAAAAATCAAAACAGATGATCTTCTGGAAACGATGAAAGCTGCAGCTTGGCGCAGACCAGGGAAACCGTCTGCAGTCTCTGAACTGAAACGCTTATTTGGTCATCAACTCTTTGGGGAGGAAATATACAAAGGATCAGCTGAACAAACCAAATTGATTTTGCCGCTTCTCCGATGGATTGCAGAAGCATGGCTACAACGCATGCCATCCATGAAAGAGTCTGCAGAATGCTTTCTGGCTCTTTGCCGCTGCACAGACCAATTGCAGCTGTGCAATGCAGAGACTCGGTGGTCAACACTGGAACAAGCCCAGTGCCACCATCAAAGACTGTTTTCGGCATTGTATCCAGACTCGGTACGTCCAAAACACCACCATAGGCTTCACCTGAGCCAGCAATATGAAAAACTCAAGATGCAAATATCGTGCTGGGGCGTCGAAGCAGCGCACCAATCCTACAAGAAATGCTTCGCCGACAATTTCGATCATCTCCTGCAGCCTGGAACAGAAGGCATGTACAGTCGACATATCATGCCGCGTTTGCTGCTACGATACATGGAAATGTGCAATGAAACGCCCTTCCTAACGAATGGGTTCCAGTTGCTATCTCCATTCGATGAAGCTGCTGTCGAATCCGCTACGGGAATCAAAGATGCTTCCATCAGTGCCAAATGCCGGACCCACGTCATGGAAATAAAAGAGAATGATGTGTTGCTATGGGGAAAAGAACGGGACCAAGGAGGCATCATTCGTTTCTTCCTCGTGCGTAACAACAAGTTATTCTTGTATGCGACTCCCCTGGAGTTGCGAGACAAGACAGAAGCAACAAGAACGTTTTCCTCCAAGGATGCAAATCAATTCTACCAATGGGTCTTGCTACCGGAACCATGTCACCCGACGTGGCAAAGCTGTAACGAAAACACCATCGTCGTCTTACCGTGACAAAAAAAGCCTCCTTAGAAGGGTCTCACAAGTGGTTTTAACTGGATATCCATGATTCCTTGTCAATTTTCACAACTCACCTCAAAATCAAAAAAAATAACCCACTAAAAAGATACGGAACTTATAAATTAACTTATAATATACCCTAAAATAAGTTATCATAACTTCAACATAACTTCCATAACTCAAATTATAACTTCATAACTTCATGTTAACTTAGGGGCCCCATCTTGTACCCTACTGTACGAAGATGTACTAAGGCTGATGTCATCAAGATTGATTGCCGTGCAGCTGCCAGGGATGATATGTGTGGCGGCCTTTTTTTTTCCCTAACCCAAGAATCGACCTTGGGAGGCCTTAGCGGCACAAGAGCTGTGCCCCGGAGCGGTGAAGGGAGGGGGGTAATCGCCAGATGATCAGCTGCGAATAGAGTTTTCCAAGCGTATGATAGTTAGTGTGTTTAGTGTTGATGTCTTTTTTTTGAAATGTGTTTTTGATGGTTTTTTATCAACGAATTTGTGAAACAAACGGTTTTTTCCAAAGCAAATACTGGGCACATTTTTTCGCGCCGCCTGTGGTTGACGAGCACATGATGGATGGGATGGAAGCGGCGAACCGGTAATGGTTGATGACATGTGTAAGTTGTTGGTCATTTTGATAGATAAATATTTATCAATGGCTTCAAACAATCCACTACAATATGTAGTTAGGAGTTAGGACATCTTTTAGGTAGTTAGGTAATGATTTAGAGCTCAAAGAATCGCTTCTTTGAATCGGCTACGTCGCTCTTAGAGGCCGCGTCGAAGGTATGTACTGGTTGATCAGTGATCAGAGTGATGTTCGGAATCTTTCACAATCCTTAAGCCAACAAATAATGTTTCAGCCTGTGATGAACGTATCTTTTCAAAGCGTCCAGGCAATCATGAGCTAGTCAGCTAGTCCCATCTCCATGACTCTTGTCAGCAAAGCTGCAGGTACAAGAAGGGCTGGAAATATCAGAAGTCCGAAAAGCTTTGGTACCTGGAGCATCAGCCGCAGGTGCGCGGCGTGTCTCCTTGACCTCCCATGACTGACTTAGCCAGGTGTAGCCCTGTGACATCCTGTAACCGAGCCAGGTTGGTGAGCCGAGATGGTACGTTTGGGATCCAAATACCTGGGAAAGAAAGGATGCCCGACCCCAGGCGCGGTGAGTTTAAAACAACAGCTGGCAGGAATCCCCACTTTTTCATAAAGGGCTTGCCATCTGATTTTTCACTGCTTGGTGATGTTGGTGGTGACTGGAACATGACTTTTATGACTTTCCATACATTGGGAACAATCATCCCAACTGACGAAGTCATATTTTTCAGAGGGGTAGGTATACCACCAACCAGCTGGATGGCAATGGTCACACTGGTCAGGACTTTTCTTCGAACCAATTCCTGACAGAGGTTCGGCTCGTGGGCACGGCGAGGGCAACCTAGGTCGTTTGTACATGTTTGTATTTGGGTGTACAGTGCCCCAGCAAGTGGCTAATAACCATGGTAATGTCTTGTTGATGGTCAACGAAGTACTGAAAGATAGGACAAACCCAGTCTGGTTTGTCTGGGTGGTTCATGCTATGGATTCCACCCCCCCCCCACAGGGCCCCACAGTCCTGGGGTTGGAAACATCCTCTGTTGGGATCTGAGTTCTCGGTCGATTTTGATCCACCACATCACCATTTAAGTTTTACTGTCCAGTGGTTAGGAGGGAACGTGGGAGATAGGGGTATCCATAATGCCCATTATTTATCATGGGAGCCGGTCGGATTTACCATCAGAGTTTCCCAACCATATCTGGTTGGTGGTTTCGATGATTTTTTTTTTTATGACTTTCCATTCAGTTGGGAGTTTCATCATCCCAACTGACGAACTCCATCATTTTTCAGAGGGGTAGGTAGCCCCCACCAACCAGATATGATAGGTTTCACCATGATCCCTCTGAGTCACACCTCATAGCCGGAACCTTCGCCATCAGTGGGGGGTTCACCAGATCTATATTTAGATGATTAAAACATATTAAAACATATTAAAACCTCCATTTACATATATAGAGATGATAATAAAAAAAAACTCCATTTTCCCATCGTTTTCCGATATTTTCTGCCGATTTTTGAATTGTGAACTTCGTGGAGTTGGCCGCTTTCCTTTGCTTAGGAGGAGGTCCAGGTGCGATTCCCTCAGATGCCTCAGTGAGAAACAGAAAAAAAAAGTGGTGGGCGCCTCAGATGGGAGCCTGGAGACCCATTTTTTCGGCAGAAGTGAGGCGTTTCCCTCCAAAAAAAGGATCACTTTTAAAACTTTTCATGGCGAACTCTTACATAACTGTTAAGGTAAATACATGTAAACTCACTGTTGGGGGGATGAAGCCTGAGCCATATGGATGCCCAAAGATGAGGGGAGTTTGATGAGTTTCCTCTGGGACAGGATCATGTGGAAAGATGTTGATCTGACAGTGATGTGGGGCTCAGAAATCCTGCCCTACTTGGGTTGCTGGTAGGTTGGGTTGCGAGGATCCTGCGAAGCACTTGCTTCAAAACATGCTCTAATAGTGTTTTCTAATAGTAATACGCGGTTCCTAACATTGGAATGCTGGTTTGATTGCGGGGCAACTATCCCCAGATAGCCAAAGGTTTCAGGTGAACCAAGGACCAGCTGAGGAATTCGTCAGTGAAGCTGAACTGGACCTTTTTAGACCCAAAAAAGTTGTCACCTGTCACCTGTCACCTGTGTGTCTGCCAGGTATAATAGAGCCGCGGCTCAAAGCCCTTGGGCGAAAAGGTCACTGGCCGCAATTTTTTTCGGCTGGCGCTGGAAAGGCTACTTACAGAAACCTGGAAGTTGAATATTTTTAGGGTTTACAGATGTTTAAAGGCTTTCTGCTCTGGGAGACTCTGGGACAAGGGAATTTCCATGAATTTCCAAGTCTTGTCTGTCTGGCAAGGGAACTCAGGGAACTCATAGGAAATTCATGAGCTGCTGAGCTCATATCAACTGCTGGGGCAGCGAAGGAACCATACAATTGTGATGTTCTTTTTTATGGGGATCCCGTAGATGTCCATAGTATCCATAGTTAATAAATGTTAATAATTGTGTTGTTTTACAACCTACGGGTGAACTGCTATATGAACAATCCCTGACCTTTTTTGATTCACGAGGTGCCCCTCAAGCAAGCTCAAGCGACGCGGAACCGAAGGAAAAAGACCGTAGAGTTGTGGCTGATTCTGTAAACGTTGCGTTAATGTTACGTACTCCTCGTATGTTGTATAGTTGATGAATATCAAATATCTAAGTTTACTAATTACTCTCATGAGTCAGAAGTATTCATACGTACTCTGACTTGGCTTTGGCATCTTTGGCAACTTGCAACCCCAACGATGGCCAAGTGGTAAGACAGGTGAGGAAGTCGTCCTTTGGGGGGTACCAGTTTAGTTGATTATCATAGATTATCACTATTTTGGGTGACCCTACTTAATCAACCAGGGTTTTAATCTGCTTCTGAGTCCGCTAATTGCTTGATATTGATTTGGTTGACACTCCTCTTTAATCAACCTCCCCAAGTCTGAAAAACCATTGTTGAGGATTACAAGTGCAACAAGCACTAGAAGCAGATCATCACTCAACTTCATTTTCTTGTTCAGTCTCTTACTGAATCTGGTTGGTGGTTTCAAACATGTTTATTTTTTTCCATTTCATATATGGGATGTCATCCTTCCCATTGACGAACTCATATGTTTCCACCAACCAGTATATATATACGTATATACTGTATACATAATGATATATATATATATATACAATTTCACCATAAGTTCAGATAACACATATAACCAGGAATGGGAAGACCCCAAGTTATCATCGTCGCTGGTCGTTCCGCCACTTCTTCGCAGCCAATTTTTTTTGCCGGGGGAAGAACCTCGGGGGAGAACCGAACCTCCTCCCAATGGGAGCGAGCCGGTGATGCGAGGCCGGGTGGAAAATCCATTTGGTGTTGCCTGGATCATAATCCTGGAAAAAGCCTGTTAAACTTGTAACATGTTATGATCATAACAATATATAGATCATAACAAGTTTTTAATGTAATAAATCTTGGCAAGACCCTGGTTCCTACAAGAATTGAGAGATTTACAAAACATGTTATTGTGATTTTTGACTGAAATTGATTTAGCAACAAACAGGAAGAGTACACACGCGTGACAATTCTAGTGACCTGACTGACCTCACCAATGTTAATGATGGGTAGCATTTGGTGAAACCATCCCAAATTTGGCGAACTTGAACAGTGAAATAGTATGAAATAGTGTAATTTTCCCAGATGACGCCTAGGGTCCAAGATTTTGACAGAGTTATTTTTCTGGTCTTCAAACATCACCTGAAATGAGAGTCAAGCTCATGGACCAATAGCTATATTCCAAACCGTTCGTATCAGTACTGAGGATGCTGGTATGTTTGACTTTAACGATGTACAAATACAATAGTGAGATAAGTATTGGTCTTATATGATGTATGATTTATTACTATACCGACTGTAATTTGCATCTATCCATGGGTGGGATGCCGACAGAAAACCCTGCTCCCTGCAACCACTGCAGGTGTTCCTGCTGAAATCGTCAAAAGGCAGTGGCTCCAAGGGATATGAATGGGCTGTTCATGGGATATCAATGGGATATTTAATTGGATATAATTGGATAACATGGGATATATAAGCTATTCCACAATGGAACTTACTATCTACAAGCGGATATTAGTAGCATTTTCACTATCCAGTGGTGAACGATCCGGCAGCGATGAGAAGGGAGCGATGACGATATCCGTCCCTATTTTGCATTTTTGGGGGATCCAGTTGGAGCTGATCAGCTCAGAAAAAAGAGCGTAAAATAATACACTCAAAGGAATACAGATTCAACGACATGCAGGGATCCTGGCAGCCGATATTGTGATTATACCAGGTACCAGTGGATTAAGATATGCTTCACGCTGTGACAAACAATTGAAAACACATCATTATAGTTGTTTCCCAGCATAGTGCGGACTGACTCGCACACTTCATGTTCTTTTGCCAGGCTTTCCCGTTTCATCCTGTTCAGTTTTTGCTCTCATTTTTCAGTCCTGGGTGAAAACAGGGTTTGCAATGGAACCAGCCAGATATAGCCAGATACCAGCCAGATACACTGTGAATTATGGGAATATTTACTAGGCAGCTACGAAGGTTTTCAATCTTGCGGATTATCTATAGAATCTAAGTATCAAGATATACTGTATTAAGATTATCTCAAAATAGATCATATATATATATATGTATTAAATGATGTTTTTGTATGATTCATTATGCCCATATTAGATACTTACATCATCTTACATCCAAATATCTCATTAGATTATCATATATATCAAAATATCTAAATACAGTAAATAATATAGTAAATATAGTAAACTATAGTGAATTAAATACCACTTAGACTATGGTCACTTACTAAATATCTCATATTTTGCATATGGCTATGGATCAATACCTATTAATACCATTTTTAGGGGGATGAACATCCATAAATCCCAGCTATTTTGATGTGAACTACAGGGGTACTATTGGTTTTGACACACTGCCATATCGTAAATCATGGTATTTACAGCTGCCCAGCTGTACTTTTCGACCTGCTAGGGGACATGGGTGCGTCGAGCTCGTCGAGCTCGGGGGATTGCAGGCGCCTCGAGCAATCGCTCGCTGCAGCGAGCTCGGGGGATGGATAGAAAAGTGGGAACATGTGGGAAACCTGGATATATATCTGGTTGGTGATATTGGGAATAATAATTACTGGTTGGATATACATTACTGGTGGTATACATTACTGGTTGGATATAACATCAAATTATCAAAGGGTGATATACATTACTGGTTGACCTGGAAATGTGGATGAATTAACTATGGTTTATGGTAGATATAACTATAGTTAATGGGGATTATAATGGTTCATAAACATTCATAAACCAACAAACACTGGTTGGTGGTTTGGAACATGAATTTTATGACTTTCCATATATTGGGAATAATATGGAATAATAATCCCAACTGACGAACTCATATTTTTCAGAGGGGTGGCTCAACCACCAACCAGATATGGTACAGTAAATATATGGTAAATAGTACATCGAAGCACCTGGAAACACGAGGGATCTATCTTGAAACTTCGGGGTTACGACAGAGACACAGACATAGACTATTTCACAGAATTTCACATGACATATCAACTTTTGGATTCACTTTTGGATTCGGATGAAGTTTTTGTTAATCAAGATGTGTTTGAAAGAAACTAGGTGAAAGGATGGCTGTTTTTGAGATGATATACCCAGACATCACCCTGATGTTTAAACTTCCAAAAGGTGGAGTATGATGATTATGACCTCATGTGCAAGAGGCAATATATTATATGTATGTATGGTATAGTACTATATAGTACTACTAAATGTATACTATATATATATTGTATACATACAGAAGTATATATATATATTTCAATCTATGACTAGTCGACTGAAGTGATGGGTTGATGATTGCTATTTGTGCCATGGTCAAATGTCAAAACATGGTTTATTTTCCACTTAAAGGGGATGGTCACCTCCCATTAATTTGTAGCCATTGCAAGGGTTCTCAATATGTGATGGATGACCATACCACATATACCATGTTTGGATCCAGTCCCCATCTGGGTCTGAATATGCTTGATATATATTGGGCCCCCCAAATAGTCAACCATGGTACTATGTACTTATCATCATGGTTTCTTAGTACTATGTTTTTTTTCATAGAAAAAACATTGGGAAAAAACATAGTACTAAGAAACCATCGATGATAATGGGATTTTGGGATCCTGGATGACCAGTTGGTTGTCGGGAGGGTTTCAGTCGTCATGGATGACCATGACAGTATTGAATCCCTTGGGGAACGATTGGGATCCCCCCCATTTTAGGAAACATCCATATAGACTAGTTACCCTCTGGTTATTTAACATAGCCATGGTATAGATGGCCCATTTATTGATGGTTTACCTATATATTAAAAATGGTGATTTTCCATGGCTATGTTAAATAACCAGATGGTAATTCCAGTCTTTATTGGATGCGCAAAAGCCCATAAAAAGATGTTAGTAGATGTTGGCTAGCGCCCCGCAAATAAGAACTTGAGTCCGACTTGGGAATTT